GGGTTTTCCTCTACCTCGGGCCTCCTTCCTGGAGACATAATTTCCTGATCTTGGATTTTTCCCATTTTTCATTCTGAGGAAGTATATTGTTCAACAACTCCAAGAAAGTATGTAAGGTTAGTGAATATATTCTAACACAGCACATGTTATAGTATGGGTTTATTTTATCCTTCACACTTGAATAATAGTTTAACTGGACATAAAATTCTGGACTCCATCGTCAGACCAAGCTTTTATGACTTCTTCACCCGAAATGTTCTGAAATCTTCTCATGAGACAGTGGATGTTTTCTCCTTCCATCCGCAGTGGGCCTGTCAGGACTCCTTGGTATTCAGTTATACTTAACTAAGACCATTTTCCTCTTCATCTACTACCCCTATCTCTGCCTTTTTCATTTGACTAGCTGCTTCTGCTTAAGCTTTATTTTTCAGCTTGTCTGTTGTTTGAAAGCATCAATTACACTTGAGATTTATACCTCTTTTTTGTTTTCTTCCTGCTTATTTTTAAATAGTGTCTTATTCTCCAATAATGGATGTAAATTCTTTCAGGTTGCATCAGTTGGAGTTCAGTTTTTTTTTTTTTTTTGAGGGGGTGTTCCTTTGGAAATCCACTTGTTTGTTCAGGCTTTGGGGACTTTCTAAGAAGCTTCTCTGATTGTTGTAATAGTAAAAGCAAAGCATTCAGGCATAGTTCCAGTTACTCAGGAGACTGAGGCAGGATTTCAAGGGCAGTCTGGGCCATATAAAGACAACTCATTCTCAAAAAACATGGAAGACAAGCAAGATGGCTCAGTGGGTAAAGTGCTCTCACTTCCTCTATGTGTAACTCTGCAAGTTCCTAACCTGTCTAAGACTAAACATTCCTAACCAAGAAAAGGAGATTAAAAACAAATACATTATTGGGTCCTCTGAAAAGTAAATTACGTAGTCACTTAGGCATTGCTAACAGAAAGGCCTGGAGTATGTTTTAGATCTTCCACTTAGAAGCAGCACATAATTTAAATTGTCAATGGTGGATTGATGTGGCGCTCTGTGAAAAAGCCAGGTGTTGGTGGTACATGCCTTTAATCCCAGCACTCAGGAGGCAAAGACATCTCTGAGTCTGAGGACTGCCTGGTCTACAGAGCCAGTTCCAGGATAGCCAGGGCTACACAGAGAAACCTTGTCTGGAAAAACCAAAACAAAACGCTCGCTTATATAATTTCATAGTGTTGGACAGTTTGAATAAGGTGCTCTTGAAATTCTCTTAAAACCAAGTAACCACAGGATTACATGCACATTGGTGCTTATACTCCATATGCCTAGATTTAGGCATACATGGACCTGTGCGTGTCCAAGTGACTTATCTGTAGTCATAAGAAATAGCTACCTCAGCCAGGTGGTGGTGGTGCACATATTTGATCCCAGCACTAGGAAGGCGGAGGCAGGTGTATCTCTGAGTTTGAGGCCAACCTGGTCTACAAAAGCAGCCAGGACTATACAGAGAAATGTGGTCTTGAGCCTGCCCTACCCCCCAAAAAATAGCTACCTCATTTCTAGAATCTATAAAATACTATCAACAATATGTACAGTTTGATATATTTACATTTTTTTCTTCGACCTGAAACAGGAAAATTATGCAAAAACACAACATGCCAAGACTTTACGGGCTTAAAAATCTCACAATGCCACAATTCTCCCAAATTTAAATGTCTCCCAAACTGCTCATATACCAATAAACTCTGATTTGCCAATAATTTATTTCACCTATCTTTTTTAATACAGAAGCACATGATAAATGAAATTAAGATATTTCCTACAAAGTCATTGTGAACATTTTTCAAATTAACGTTTGAAAATCTGAGAAAATCCTCCCAAATCATTCATTTTACCATTTGAGCTGGTAAATCTGCCATTTCACATTCAAGAAAATGGACGCTTCATTCATAGTATGAAAGTTCAAGTTTCTCCATTCCTAAAAATATTAAATGAACTATTTAACTACAAAGTGGTGGTGGTGTACGCCTTTAATCCCACTACTCTGGAGGCAAGGCAGGCAGAACTCTTTGAGTTTCAGGCCAGCCTGGTCTACAGAGTAAGTGCCAGGACAGGCTCCAAAGCTACAGAGACACCACTCCCTCCCCGCAAAAAAAAAAAAAGGAAAGAAAGAAAAAGAGTGACAACAACAACAAAAACAAAGGAAAAGCCACTGTGAACAGCACAGAAAGTATCCAGAAATACTGCTAAAAGGAAACCTATTCAAAAAAATTATTCTGAGTAAGAAGCAGGCCTGTGAATAACTGGGCTCTCTGAGGTGGGCACTGGCTCACAGGCAACTGCTACTTCAATTCTAAGACAACCAAAGCATCCTCAATGAAATGACCGCCTAAAGACACACAATTCATTTAAAAGTTAAACAATTAGTATGATCTTACTTTAAACTTCATTAGGAAGTAATTTCAATACTATCTCTAAAAGCTTATGTGTACTCTGATACAAGTCACATGCCACAGAGTTAAACAAGCTATCTAAGGTATTTGAGTCTAAAAATACATATTTTTTTTTCTCACTCTGAACTAGTCAGATTGGTATTTAAACAAAATGTCATCAAATGTTACATTAAATGTGCCAGAATAAAAAGATTAAACACAAACTTTTTAAATCTATCATGCAGAGAATTCTCCCAGCCCCTGAAGACTGTTAAGATTTATTAACCCCCCCCACCACACAGCAAATTAAAAATAAACAGGCAGTGTAGACAATGAATTGAAAATAACAGACTTGACTCCTTAAGCCTTCAAAGTTTACACAGCACAATGAAGACAAGATAAAATGGGAAGATATTTGCTATTACCAACCATCATAAAGGGTCTATGCATTTTTCTTACAATTACTGCAACTACTTAGTTTCTTCTTTAGTCTGTGCTTCAAATAACAATATAGAATCTACTTTGAAAAATATGCCTATAATATAACCAGAACTTGATACTTGTAAAGCTAAGCAATTGTTTAAAAAAACAATCTTATTTAAAAAGCCATGTTTGCATTCCTCAGTATATCACCTTGGTTAGGCATTACCAGAACAACTTTCTTTCCCACTGTTACAAAATGGAATCCCAGAACGAAAGAGTAAAAAGGGGGTTAACTTCTTATAAAAGGAAAATCTGTTTTCTTACTACTGATTTAATACATTTTAATAAAGACTATCTTCAAGATTCCCATGCTTGCTGAACTAAAAATTCATAAGCTCAATGCAAAGATGAAAAGATGAAACTTCCTAGCATGTCTGAAAAAACAAAGCTGGAATGGTGGCACATTTGAAATTCCAGCACTTGGAAGTGGGAAGGAGAACTACAAGAGATGACTTCACAAGAGGAAACAAAATACACTCAAACCAAATCTATAGTGCTAATGCAACCGGAAATGTACATTACAAATTGATCTTCATTTTCTACTTGAAACAGAAATCCAACTGAGTTTTTTTGTTTGTTTTGAGACAGGGTTTCTCTATGTAGTCCTGGAACTTACTCTGTAGAGCAGGCTGACCTGAAACTTACAGATTCGCCTGCCTCTGCCTCCTGAGTGCTGGGACTAAAGGTGCATGCCACCACCATATGGTAACAAAGCATCTTCCCCCCCTCCCCCCTCGAGACAGGGTTTCTCTGTGGCTTTGGAGGCTGTCCTGGAACTAGCTCTTGTAGACTAGGCTGGCCTTGAACTCACAGAGCTCCACCTGTCTCTGCCTCCCGATTGCTGGGACTAAAGGTGTGCACCACCACCTCCCGGCACAAAGCTATTTCTAAGCGCATTTTCAGTGGGAGTTCTGAAATCTGCTGAGTTTAATCTGCTAATACTAAATATAAAGAACAAGCAAGACTTGGGGAAGAACTCAGAACCATTTTTTTGTTTGTTTTTGTGTTTTGTTTTTTCTTTTTGAGACAGGATCTCATTATAAGATCAGAACAGACTGACCTTGAACTCACAGAGATCCACCTGACTTTAGTACAATGAACCTGAAACTTTTATAATTCTCAATTTCTTAAAAAATTTAAAGCAGAAGATATTTGAGGTTAAAATAAAATCAATGTCTAAAACATAAAACTGGCTAGGGGCTGGGCATGGTGGACCTTTAATCCCAGCAGAGACAGCTGGGTCTCTGTGAATTCAGGGCCCAGTCTAGTCTAAATAGTAAGTTCCAGGGTAACCAGGGCTAAACAGTAAGACAGTGGCTTAAAAAGCGAAGCAGAACAAATAAATTCAGCTGTGAATATAAGAAAATTAAAAGGCTCTGGGTGTAGTACAAGAATAGAGGGTGAGAGAGAGAAACATGATACCTTCTATTTAAAAGGGAATAGTCTTCTAACATCAGGATGGAAAACCAAAGCATATCTGTGTTTCAAAAACATCTTCATCCTTTCTTGGATTTGGAAGCCTACATTTGCCAGCACCCCTTGTCTTCTCCATCATCACAGTTGCACCAGCACTACAACTTCTGGCCAAAAGCAGAGACCAATTAATTTTCCTGACACTTTCTAAAAATGAAAACTATCATAAAGTCCAGGAGATTCTGATACAAGCTGCTAATAGCTCTCTCTACTTTCAGACAAACAATTTTCTTAATTTCAAAGTACTTTTAAAAGTAAGGTAAAACTATGTATCAACACAAAGCATTTTAGTAATTCTAAACAATAAAATTTTACGCATTTTGCTTTGAACAAACAGGTAAGGCAAGAACTATACAACAAAAGACGTTTTCCAAAAAGAGGATTACAGGTAAGGTGACTTGGCCCAGCCAGAATCCCCCTTCTCCCCTTCAAAGGGGATTCCTTGATAGGATCCAAAAGAATGTTTTCCAAAATAATTTGGTGACTCTGATGTTAGCTGATTCTGTTTAAAAAGCAGATAGCATACTTAGCACTGAACTGATTCAGTTCTTACCAAAGGCTGGATAAGTAGAAAACACAAAAGTCACACACACACACACACACACACACACACACACTCTCACACATTACAATGGACAGCTATCCATCTATTATTTATTTAGATTAAGTACATTTTGTTATAAAAAGAAATCCAATTCAATGTAAATACTCTCAATATTCACAAACACAGAGGCACAGGAAGAAGCACTATGATGTCACTTCTATGCACATATACACAAAGTTCACAGGCATGGAGTGAAAGCAGCTGTTTCTCACAAACTGTGTGACTTCACTGTATGGTTGCTTCATGCTTCATTTCAAAACTCTAAAAGTAGTGCTCAGTGTTCACATTATTCATCCTATGGAGATCTCTCAAGACATTCACTATCTAAATGAGTGGGGAAACCTGCAGTGCAGCTGTATTTTGGCACAGATAAAGAAAATCCTTGTTAGTTTACCAGTCTCTTTTAATACTCCCTGTTAGAAGATATGAATTGCACACAAGTTTCAAGTTTCTTGTAAGAATCCAGAAAAGGGAAAAGAAAATGGTGATTTTTTTTTTTAAGTGCTGATACTTTTCACACCCGAGTTCAGTCATAACAGCTGGAAGAGGTGTTAGCTATGGCTTTATTCCTTTTGAATCTGAAACTGCAGTCACTTCCATGACATTTCAAAAAGAAATTGAATTGCATCAAGTGATTTTTTTCATGATTCCGATTCTTCTAATTTTAAATCTTATTTAGGAAACAACTTCTGCCATCTGAGAAGGTATATGGATAGTCTCCAGCTGCTCAGAGTAAAATTATCCTGCTCTAGATCTTGTGAACTGGGAGCACAGGAACAGAAGGATAAAGGAGAACCAAAGCCACCCTTCCTCCCTACAAACAAAAAGACTGAGTCTATGAGCCCCCTCAGATATGGCATCCATTGAGGGATCCTTTGCTTCTAACTGTGTAGGGGTCCTTGGCTGTAGTGTGACTTGCACAAGAAGTACACACAGTCCCTGAGAGGCCCTTTAATCCTTGTTGGAAAACACTGTTGGATAGACTATAAATGATACAGTTGCAGAAACTGTTACTAATGGCAAGCCAGGTAGTCAGGAAGGATGCAAGGCGGTTGCTGAAACCAGTGGAGCTTTCCAGCAGGAAGTAGATAATGTATGGCAACCAGAGGACATAAAACACACTTGTGATTCTGAATAGGACCACGGCATAGCGCTTATCTGGAGAGGTCTGGGCTTCCCCAGCACCCCCATTCTGGCTGCTGAATCGGGCTTGCCTTTCGCTGATTTCTTTTGTGTGCTGCTGGCAGATGCGGAAGATGTTGAAATATGTGAAGCAGACAATGAGGGCAGCTGGGGCGTACAGCATCACCACGATGAACAATGTGAAGTAGGGGTTGGTGTGCCAGGACTCTGCACACCACTGAAACACATCTCCATGATATCCAGGTTTGCCCCAGTGGAAGAAGGAAGGCAGGAACACCAGGGCAGAATACAGCCAAATCAGAAAAATACAAAAGCGTAGTCTCCAGGGAGTAACCAGCATATTATAGGTTAAAGGCTTAGTGATGGCGATATATCTATCAATGCTGATACAGGCCAGAGAAGCCATGGAGACACTCTTCAGAACTGACACTACAAAGCCAAATACTTGGCAAGTCATGGCCTCCTCCACAGGAAGGGGGTAGTGCAGCAGTGACAAGGAAGGGATCAGGCAGCTCACCCCAACCAAGAGGTCAGCATATGCCATTGTCTGGATAAAATAACTTGTGGTTTGATGGTTCAACAGAGGTGCACAGTGAAACACAAAAATCACAATCATGTTGCCAGAAATAATCAATACGGTTAGAAAGACAACAATCAGTGCTTCCAAAAGACAAAAACTGACAGTTTCCAAGTAGCCCAGTGCCAGGAGACAGAAAGGATGGCTGCTCTGATCACTATCCAAGGTGGAGTTCATCTCGTGCTCAGGAACTGGCTCGCACTTCATGCTGCCACAGTTCCCAGGAGCAGCTATTGTCACTGCAGTCACCCTTGGGTGTGACAATGCCAGGGAACCCTAGTCACCAGGTTCCTGGTACTGCTGCTGCTGCTGCTATGGTGCATTGCCTGCCGTGCAATTTCCCTTTGAATTCTTCCTGGAATAGGGAGAGCCAATGGCAGTTGTCTGGACAGTCCCAGACTCTGCCATACTGACATGTTCACCATGCACCAAGTGAGGGAGGGGGGAGGGGCGGAGGGAGGAGGATTAGGAGCTTCAGCAGGAGTTGTGATGTGTCTCCTCTGAACAGCTGATAGAAGAAAAGGAGAGAGCATTTTACATTCTGCATTCCATGTCCTCTAGTCAAAGACCCTAGCTAGCTCTCACTGCCACCCTCCACCCCTTCAGTCTCAGCAGCAGCCTCCATAAAGGACAGTTACTCCAGAGGAGCAGCTACACTGACTGCAACTCCAAGATTAACATAAAAGGAAAGCAATTACAGATCCATTCTCTTTTATTTAACCTGTTGTGGGAGAGAAAACCTTCTTATGGCAATCCTGAAAATATTTGGCCACAATTATCATTGATCAAAATTAACCAAGATTAATTTTCTCCATTACATCCAATGCACTATTTACTTCTGAAAACGTCTTTAATTTAAATGCTTAGAATGCATAGAATTTAAATGCTTAGCCCAATTACCTGTAATTCTGCATGCTGAAATCCAAACAAAAGCCACAATAAATCCTTAACAGAAAGCCTTGCAATGCAGCACTGTACTTCAGCCCCTGTACAACAGAACTAAGGCACAGCACAGAGGGAGGGGATAAAGGAGTAGGAGGGGAAGCAGGAGGAAGGGGCTTGGGAAAAGGAAGAAAGGGGGAAGGGAAGAAAAACACTTGTGCTCACACACATTCTAGAATCTTGGGCATTTGAATTCATCGCCAGAGAGAAGCTCTGAGTTTTTACACTGCACTGTGGGCACTGACGTGGGTTGCCAGCAGTGCAGCATCTGAAAGCTGTCTCTTGTCTGTCTAGAATCCCCCTCTTAGGCAAATGAGTAGAATCCAGACTGCCAGTAAGAAAAATGGGCAGTAACTACAGGGGTGGGTGGGTGGTGAGGGACTGAAAGGAGGGGGATGGAAAAAGAGGGAGGAGTCAGGAGTTGGGCTGAAGGCCACTACCAGAGGAGTGAGGGGGAAAGTCCTATTTTTGTTACCACTTTCCCAAGAACAAAGAACGGTATCAAAGAAAGGAAGTGTGTTAACAGTACATGACAATGGAGGAATTCTAATTCAGCTACATAAAAAGTTATAGCTGGAAGACTTGAATATTCAGCCTCAATTTTCTTTTACCAGTTATTGGATATTGGCCAATATGATGAAAGGATGCTGTGATGCTGTTTCATCTCTCCCCACCCAAGTGATAGCAAACGTGACAGCATGCAGATATTCAGGTACAAGTATCGTATCTTACAATGCAATCTAACACTACGCAAATTGAAATCATATAGCATTTTTTTTTTCAGATAACTAGGAATTGGGTGCCATGGGAATGGTATAATTCTGCCTGAATAAAGCCCCATATCCCCAGAAGAGTAAAAGTAAACCAATGATGGCCTCTGTAATAATCCCAGGAGATATACACATCTGAACAGAGCACTATGTGATCCAACTTGTATTCTGATTTATTTTATACAGGCTTTCTTATTGTGGGCAAGAGGATGCCTACAATCACAATTCAGTGAAGTCTAAACACTGTTTAGCTGAGGAAAGCAAGGACCTAAAACATGCTGAAGCACAAGACTAACAACAGTATACGACAGGCCTCAGCAAAAAACAGCAGCATCTTTCTATATTTAAACCACTGTCACTCAAAGATTATTTGAGGTACTGACTCCGGTTTCTACTTCTCAAGGTCCCTTTCCACACTCATCCACCAGCACATGGTATGCTGGGCTCTGAGCTTTCTTATACAGTATAGCAGTCTCCTGAGTTGCAATTTTACAGTCCATTATCTATGCTCAGCTGTAGTCTGAAAGCACTGAATGGAAAATCCTGCAGTTTAAGACAGCCCACATTCACATAACTTATCACAACATACTGTCACAGCTATTTTGTTGTTATCTATTATTTTTAACCTCTTACTATGCCTACTTTGTAAGTTATACTTTATTGACAGTATGGAAAGGATAAAACAGTTACAAGTCTGGCACTATCTGATGCTTTAAGCAACCACTGGAGAGCTTGGAACATGTCCCCAGTAAATAAGAGAGACTCCTTTGCTACTATTCTCAGTATAAGCCACAATTATCGTTTGCCATATTTCACTGGAACAAAAACAACATTCTAAAACTAACATGATAAATAAGTTAATAACAGTGACTGGGCAGCTGCTTACACTTAATGTGACTATGAATCGTGCTGAATACTTTCATTTATTAATCCTGTCAACACTAACAATCATACTAGCAAGGTTCTATTTATGCCTGGGGATAGTAAATTGCCCAACAACAGCTAGAAAACAGTGGTGCTAGGATTTGAAGCAAGACAACCTGCCTCTTGTCAGACACATGAAATCATACATACTGTTTCTTTACTTTATTTCATTTCTTTTTTCGGGGGGGGGGGTTTCGACAGAGTTTCTCTCTGTAACTTTGGAGCCTATCCTGGCACTCGCTCTGGAGACCAGGCTGGCCTGGAACTCACAGAGATACGCCTGCCTCTGCCTCCCAAGTGCTGGGAAACACAGTTAAACACTGGAGCATCTGCCTTGTATGTATGGTCAGTACTGGAAATACAAAATAGTATAAAATAAACAAGAAATAAAATGATTCCAGCTTTTTTTCCCTGTTAACACAAAACCATTAATGTCACTTTCTAAGATTTGGCCCTTTCAGGCTTCTGGCCTTACCTCAGCCTCCTCACCTCTGCACAGTGAGTGCTTCTCCCCAATATTGCAGCACTATACCTTGTGCCCAAATACCAACCTCCAGGATGACTTCAGAAGACAAGTCCTCTGGGCTGTGGTGGCACTCATCTTTAATCCCAGCACTTGGGAAGCAGAGGCAGGTGAATCTCTGTCAGTTCGAGGCCAGCCTGGTCTACATAGTCAATTCCAGGACAGCCAGGGATACATAGAGAAACCCTGTCTCAAAAAACAAAATAGACAGACAGACAGAAAGAAGACATGACTTTTAAAAGGGTTGGATGAGAAACCTTTTGTTTGTTTTTGGTTTTCCTAGACATGGTTTCTCTGTGTATCTCTGATGCTCTTAGAACTTGTTCTGTAGACCAGAATGGCCTCCAATTCAGAGAGATCCACCTGCCTCTGCCTCCTGAGTGCTGGGATCAAAGGTGTGTGCCACCACCACCTGGCTAAATAAGAAACATTTAATGTCATCTGAATACAGTGGTTATGTATTTTCTTCTAAACTCTCATGAAATTTTGTTTATTGTTAACTGCCTAAGTGTCTCAGGACTGGTACAAAGAAACAATTCTCCTTTGAATAAATAACATAAGCCAAATACAACAAAAATTCTGTTTTTAGGTTAGAAGAGCTTTCAAATAGAGTTGTAATGATAACTGCTGGTATACCCACAATACAGGCCTGGTAGGAGTTCCTATTCTTACAGTTCAGGACCTACAAGCAAACTCAGGACTTTCATTAGCTTAATGTTTCAGAGCACTTCAGATTTTCTTATCATGGTGGTTTAACTGATAGTCTATGCAAACCAAACTAAGGCAAAACAAAACAACAGCACCACAACCAAATAGAAAACCCTGACTCTGCAACAGTTCTGATCCCAAGCTTTTAGATAAGGATGTTCAATCCATACCCAACTAAATGATATAAAATTTCTGTGGGTTAAAAAAAAGAAAAAGTCCCAAATAATAACAATTTCAAAACAGTCAAAACAATATATTCACATTCTTGGAATTCAAGAAAACTTAGAACTCCCTAGACAGATTTGATATGCAGGAACTCAATGGAATGGAAGTATTTTCACAAAGATATGCAGAGTCTTTATTTTCACAAGTAATTTAAAGAGGCAGACCTACGGCAGCAACTGCTATAGGATAGTTTGTGTGTATGTGTCACCTGTATTTCATTGGTATACTTTTTAGTGTACAAAATAATGGGTTTCATAATATTCTATTATATCATTATAATAGTGTATCATTATACTTTGTGTTCAAATTCCCTCCCACTCTTCTCTCTTACCCAGTACGAATGGCCCTCTTCCTTTCCCAAAATACTTTTAAAGGCAACTCGCACCGTAATATATTTCTATTAAGAAAAATTAGTTTTTATTTTTATGTATATGTGTGTGTATTTGGATAAGTTTATGTACACTACATGGACATCTAGTACCCTGGAACTAGAATTACAGTTAGTAAGAACCTCTGTTGTATATAAAATTCATGGATGCTCAAATCTCTTATAGAAAATAATGCAGTAGGGAGCTGGGGACTATGATAGAGTTGCTTACCATGCCCAAGATCCTGGGTTCAATCTACAGCACAGGGGAAGGAGGAAGTATTTATATGCAACATACACAATATTCCTGTAAGCTGTGCAGTGGTAGCGCATATCTTTAATCCCAGCATCAGGAGGCACAAGCAGGCAGATCTGTGAGATTTTTGAGGTCAGCCTGGTCTACATAGTGAGTTCCAGGACAGCCAGGGCTGTTATACAGAGAAGCTCTGTTGCAAAAAACACACCCACACACACACACACACACACACACACACACACACACACACACACACACACACACACACACACACACACACACACACACCCCAAAACAAAAAACCCTAATATTCCTGTATACATCAACCCTTCATCAATTACTTACAAAACATAATACAATGTAAATGCTATGCAAATACTTGCTATATGTTATTGTTTGGGAAATAATAAGAAAAAAGCTTATAGATCTTTGATATTAAAGCAAATTTTCAACATTTTCTATCACTGATGGTTAAATCTATGTATATACAACCCAAAATTTCAGAAAATGCTTTCATCTGATGTCCCAACAACTCGTCCAAGGGACAGACCCTTATTTGAGTTTATAAATGGAAGAGTGAGTGAACTGAACCAACGCTCAGGCTTTGGGAACCCCATGTGCTTCCTGGTAACCAGACAACCTTTCATTGCTGGGTGCCCAGAGGTACATTCTTTCAATTTCAGTCCTTGTCTATTAAATTCCAAACAGATTTCTGTTGCTGTTGTTTTTGGAGACAGGGTTTCTCTGTATTGCTTTGGAACCCTTCCTGGAACTCACTCTGTAAACCAGGCTGGCCTTAAACTCACAGATAGCTGCCTGTCTCTGCATCCCGAGTGCTGGGATTATAGGCATGTGCTACCAATGCACAGCCAACGAGATGTTTTTATTTAAGAATGAAACAGTCTGCTCTGTGATGACACTTTCACAGGTGCATTCATTTCTAGACTGTAGATGTGACTGGGCCTCCACAACTTCCACTGGACAAGTAATTAAGAGATAAAATGCTGGTGATACAGAACTGCTGCTAGCTTAGGGGCTGGATATGAGCCTGTAACTGCAGCCAAGTCTCACAATGGAAATGAAGCTCAGCAGGGAAAAGAACACACATATGTCTGAGAAGGAATGAGGCATGGAAAGGAGGAACATCAGGATGCGCTGCGGACCCATTAGTCTCTCGCCATAAAATGCATTCACCATAGAAGGAGTTTTGCTGTAAATTTTGAACACTAAGCACTATGAGGCCATGAGATAAAATATAAAGTATTATTCCAGCTTCTGTGTTACCAGATTCAATATCACGAGACAACAAGCAGGGAGGCAGACCAAAGGAGGCACTTCCTAGCCTTCTGTTAAAACAAGTGTGACAGAGGTCAGGACCAAAGACCAGAAGGAATCTACAAGTGCTTGTTATAGTGTGGTGGTTTAGTCCCAGAACTCAGGAGGCAGAAGCAGGTGGATCTCTGTGAGGTCAGCCGGTACACTTGGCCAAGTTGCAGACTAGCCAAGGCTACATAGTGGGACCCTATCTAAAAAAACAAAAATCAAAACAAACCAAAACAGTCCAACTGCACGCTCTTGACTTCATGCAGAAAAAGCCTTGGTAACGCTCAACTTTTTTTTTTTTTTTTTTGAGGCTTTATTACTTTTATGCAAGGTGGGAATTGAGATTGGGTTTATATAGCCCAGGCTGAACTTAAACTCCTTCTGCCTCTACAACCTTACTGCTGGGATTAAAGGAGTGAGTCTACAACACTAGGCTAAGATTTTTTAAGTAGAAAGAGCACACACTAAAACACAAAAGTGCAATAAGTATATAATCAAGAGACACTGTCTCTTGTTACTACCAAGCTTTATGTACTGTGTGCAACTGTACATGCTACACTGTTTTTGGAACATGATCAGTAGCTTGTGATTTTTTTCCATGTAACAAGACAACACAGGAAGACCAGCATCTAAGATTCTTAACTTTTAAAAGGAAATAACTTTTTTACTGCAATACTTTTGTTTTATAGGCATGTGAGCATGTATTAGGTATATGTAATGACATTATTATATAGTGTATTTCATATACATATTCACCCTTTTACTACATTCTTATATTCCCCTCCTACTCCTGTTGACGCTCTTCCTCTTCTCAACTATTACTTCCACACACACACACACACACACACACACACACACACACACACACACACACACTTACTTCTTGAGAACCAACTAGTTTAATTTGGGTTACTTACAGGAGCACAAGGGCTATTTTCAGGACCGTGGACTACTGATAAAAATATGTCTCTCTTCCACTGTAACCTTTAACTGCTATAGCTCCAAGGAGGGTTTGTTAGACATTCTTTCTCCTTTCTCAGGGCACGGTCATGTGCAAGTCTCAGGCAGACCACTGAGAGGTCAAGAGTGTGATGGCCACATTGTGTCTGGAAGACAGCCTTCTACTGTATTCTACCTGTTTCCTCTGGCTTCTATACCCTTTCCACCTCCATCTTCTACAGTGATTCCTGAGCCTTGGAGGGGATGATACAAATGAATTCTTTTCTAGGCTCTGTCTCAAAAGCTGTACATCCAATAAAATATACCTGAGAGTTCTCCTGGGAAAATTAACCATTCCCTATGACTCCTGCTTTGATTTGTCAAGCATGTTCAATAAAGGACATTCAATATTCTTCTGTTTGGCTTGTTCAGCCCACAACTGTGTTTATATTAGACATTCATTTTCCTTTGAGATCTTATCTCCTTTCTGTATGCTGTTTCCTATAAGACTGTTTTGTGTTAACAGTTTTAAAAAGATAATACACACTCCTAATAAGGTTTAAATATTTTCTTTACGAAGATTTTACCTTTTGTCATATCAACAGTTCTCATGTTGGGCAGATGAAATGGTTCAGTATTTAAAGGTACCTAAGACTGAAAACCTGAGTTTGGTCCCTAGGTCCCACATGGTGAATACAGAGAATGGACTCATACCAGTTTTTATCTGCCCCTGACCCACACATGTACTCAGACACCAGCAGGCCCAAACACACACATATACATGCAAACAAAATAAATAAAATGTAAGTGAAATTTTAAGGAACTTAAAAATGCTGCGAGGGAATCTATATATTCATAACCTACAGTTCAAGTTTACTCAGAGAAGCTACATCCTAGCAAATAAACACTTCCAAAATTTTGAGAAAACTAAAACAAAACCCAGATATAAAAGGCGCAAATGCTGCCTAATCTTGCAGGAAATCACTTTACATCTTTGTATGCCGTACACAGAGGTTTTGTTTTGTTTGTTTACTCCCTTTTCTTGTTCTGTTTGTGAAACCTTGAAGGATGCCTTAACTTGAGCAGGGAACACTTTGAAGATAAGAGCTTCCCCTTAGAGGAAAGAGCTCCAGCAGATTAAGGGTAAGGCTACAGAATTATTCTCTTATAAGTGTAAAAGCTAAAAGAAGGCCTTCTTTACAAAAGCGTATTTCTACAAAAAAAAAAAAAATACATATAGCTGGGTGTGGTAGCCCATGCCTATAATGCCAGCACTTGGGAGACTTAGGTAGGTGAACTGCCATAGGTTCAAGGGCAGTCTTGGCTGCACTCTAAGTTTTA